CCCCGCCCGCTTCTCTCAGACACACACACACAGACACGCTTGAGCGCATGTGTGGATTTACTACCTTGTGTGCATCTCCCTGGGAGAAGCCCAGCTGTCTTCACTGTGCAGTGTCTTTTTGCCACTTTGTTCTACCTTCTTGCTCAGGGAACAGGGACCTCAGTGGCCCTTGAGGTGAAAAGGAGACCAGTGTGGTGGCTGGAGGGGCAGCTGCAGCCCTGGAGAGGCTCGGGTGGCCATTGGAGAATGGACAGTCTGGTTTTTTTCATCTTCTAAACATGTACTTGAGTTAAGAGGCTTGCACAGACTCGTCTTGGCCGTTTGGGCTGAGCTGTCTTCTGCTTCAAATCAGCGGGGTTTGATGACTACTTGGGGTGAGAGTTGGGTGCCAGCTCATCACTAAATGTTCTCGTGATTTTATCCCCGGATGTAAAGCCGGCAGGGAAGCATTTGTGAGGAGGCTGCACTTCTCTGTCCTCGTGTCAGGACGGGGGCCTCCATCAGCCCCTGTGTGACTGCAGGGGTCTAATGAGTATGCAGCACACACGAGGGTTTATTAGACCAGGGAGTCAGCTCTTTTTTAAAACACTCTCTTTAAAAGGCATTTCTTGAGGACACTTAAGTTCAGCCATGAATTTTACTAGATAGGCACTTTTACAGTCATTATTTTGCGTGGTGGAACATTAGGAAACAGTATATTTATGGAGGAAGAGGTTCAATTGTCCACTGCAACTTACTGTCCACGCTGGTTTCTTTTGAACAAACCGCTCAGCTCCTTTTGCAGCCTCCTTTGGAGATGGGCTCTGAAGCCTGAGATATAATGGTAATTAAACCATGGAAATTTGGAGCAGAGCCACAAGCAGGAAAATCAAGATGTTTAAGAGTGTCTTTTGAAAGAAAGGGAAATTGCATCTGAGATGAATTTGCTTAAGTCAGAGAGGCTTCAGCGGGGAGCAGAGGGGCGCGAAGGCCCCGAGCGCAGTGGCTTTCCCACGGCAATGCTGGTCGAGTGAAGGAAACGGCAGAAGGCAGCTCATCAAATGGAGAGTGGCCAGGACGTGGTCAGCAGGGAGTGCGAGGGTCCATGTACCTGCTTGGGGCCTCTCTCAGGGGTCCCGGTGCGTGTGTGGGGTGTTCCTACACTGGGCTGGAAGACAGTGGGCATGGGATGGCCCAGCATCCCCTTTTGTGCCCAAAAGACTCAGGAGCCCCAGTTTTTGCGCTTAGTTTTATATTCGTGTTTGTTTTTAACTCCTTGGGTCAAAACCCCTGTGATGCATTAGGAGAGCTTCAGAGGGGCTGTCTTAGCTTTGGCTGCACGTTCCCTGCATACGTGCAATCTGTCCGACTGGCATTGGCGGGGGAGGGGGTAGCAGAGCAAGGCTGCAGGTGTTGGGGGGGCACTTGGGGAACCTGTTCTCTCGGAAGGGTGGGTGTGGCCTGTTCTGTAGTTCTGTGTCCAGGAATGAATCCCAGGAGGTAATGGGGCAGGTGTGAAATGGAGATAAGTGGTTGAGATTGTTGATATGATTGTTTTCAGTGAAAAACACAGAGCAAGCTAAATGCCCCTTTATAATGGATCCGTCACATAAATTATGCTGACACAGTGAGAGGAGGAAATACCGTTACGTTTAAACTTTACAAACAGCATGGTAGAACTTTTTATATACAGATGGGTATAAAAATAATTCCAGGATGGTTATAAACCAAACATGTGACCTAGGTTATCTCAGGTGGGGGGTGGGAGGACTACCTGAGATTTTCACCTTCTCTGTGTTTATTTGTTTTGTTTTTATTTAAGATTTTTATTGGGGAATTGGGAGGAGGGGAACAGCGTTGGGGAATCGAGGAAGGGGACCAGACAGGTAGACAAATTGCCATTTTTGTTCTTCAGTCTAGTTGTGGAGGATGTCGCTTCACTGGCCCATGTTGGCATGATCATTGCGCTCTTCCTGGGTGAGGCAGTTGCTCGCCAGTCATTGGTCGGCCGCTCACACTGGCTGCCGGCCACTCACGTAGCTCACCGCAGCCCACTGCAGCAGGGGCTGCAGCCTACGTGGTCCCCGGCGACTCACAGCAGCCCAGCTCCAGGTGGAGCTGTTGTTCACCATCTTAGCTGTAGAGGGTGAGCGTCACTGGACCTCATGTGGGATCCGAACCGCAGGCCTGCTGCTCAGAGCTGGTGCTCCCAAGCCAACTCTTAACCAACACGCCACTCGGCCGGCCCCTTCTCTGTGTTTTTATTATGCATAAAAATATATATATTATCAGAAAAAGAATAGTTCCCGTTATGCGAAGGAGAGTCCCGAGCCTGGGAGGCTGGGCCGCGCCTGCCAGGGAGGCGAGGGGAGGTGGCAGAGCCCAGTGCCGAGGGCCGACCCCCTGTCTGTCCCCACAGTACTCCCGACAGGAGCAGGAGGAGGAGGGCCGCAAGCGGTATGAGGCCCAGAAACTGGAGCGCATGGAGACCAAGTGGAGGAACGGGGACATTGTTCAGCCCATCCTGAACCCAGGTAAAAGCAGGGGCGGGCGGGGTGCGAGCGGGCTGGCGGGTGGCCGACATCCATCGGCAGATGACAGAGGTGGCCCGTTCATGAACACTGCCTGTCCTCTTGGGGCCAGTGTGCCATCCAGACCCCTAGGATGACAGGACTGCCCAGCAAGTCCCTGGAGGCCTCGGCACAGCGTTGGTGTAGAACACGCTTCAGGCGCGTTAAAGGCGGGCGTGTGTGTGGCGGGCTCCGCTGCAGAGGCAGACACTCCTGTTCACGGAGACTTGGCTTTGGTTGTGCCTTTCCCCGAAGTTCACCGGGAGCATGTTTGTGATGGGATCTCCACCTCATAAAAGCCCCACGCAGTGGCGGCAGCTTTCTCGAATACCCTTCACTGGCCCGCTCACGCAGTCGTCGCCTTGGTGAATAGACTGACCTCGCTGGCCGCATGGGCGAGAAAGCGCTGCTGGGGGCACAGCCTTCCTATAGGGTGACTTCCTTCCCATCCTTCATCATTTGCCTTCAAGTCCACGGTGACCCGGCTTTAACAAAATGTCCGCCCAAAGGCCTTTTCCTCCGTCTCTTCCTTAACGGAGAACTTCCTGGTGCGGACACAACTCAGGGCAGGGCCTCTGGGGGCGTCTGCTGCTGAGGGGACATGATGAGCCCTGGGGACGGTGGGTCTTCCCGTAACGTGTGTCACCCTTCCTCTGCGCACAGTGACCGAATTCCATCAGTGTGGAGAAGACTCTAGAACATGCTCTGTGTGTGCTTCTGCCTCTGTGTGACAGCCTGGGCTCCTGTGATGAGTGTCCCTGTTCTGTGCCCGGTTACACAGGGGCCCTAGACTTGGGTGATGTTTGAGTTCCTGATTTAGTCCTTGGCAGCTGTCTGAGGACCTGCCCTTTTAATCCCTTTCCTCCTCTTAGTGTTGCTGCTCTTAAGTACCCTGCCCCCTCCGGGCACCGCCCCCTCCAGGCTTTTCCTGGCTCCTGCTAATGAGGACCGTGGTAGCTCCGGGGCATGGACTGGACTGAGTTCCAGACCCCGCACAGCTTCCTGGCTGTGGTCAGTACTCGGCATGCTGAAAACTGGTGAACCCCCAGCAGGTGTGCAGGGGCTCTCTGAGTTCTGCCGTTTGGCCGTGCGCACATCACTTCTTAGGAGGGATCTACGCGGTTTGCTCTGGAGTCTGCAGATCTTGGTTTCTTGGTGCTAGTCTCTCCCTGAGCCTTCCGCAGGCCCCCACCTCAGCGTGCCCAAAGCAAAGTCCAGTGCGCTGGGCTGAGGTTGGTTTCTGTTCTGTTTGCACATCTGCTTTTCAAAAAACAGTCGCAATTACCTGCCAGTATTAATAACAATGTTGCTGCTTTGACAAAACCTCTGTGAAGTGGTATCTTTTAAAAATAAAATGTAAACAGACGATCAGGTTATAATAGTAATCCACAAGACAGGCCTGCCGTCTCTTGTGATGAGTCACGCTTACCCAGGCCCTAGCGACTCCAAGCCCAGGCTCTGCTTTCTGGAGTGCAGGCAGGGGCATGGAGGCCTGCAGAGTGACACGCGGAACGGGCTGTCTTAGGAAAGATACAGACTTGGTGCTGAGGTTGTTCCTGGGACAGAGAAGCTGGAGTGGGCTGGTCCCCCGGAAGACGTGTCCCCATCAAATCCCTGGCCCCTGTCACTGTGACCTTATTTGCAGAAATGGCCTTTGCGGAGGAAATCAAGTTAAGGATCTGGAGGTGAGGTGCATTACCCAGGTGGGCCCAAATCCAATGACAGGTGTCCTCATAAGAGACAGAGGGGAGAGACAGTGTCAGCCTACCAGCAGCAGGAAGGGGCAGCTGGTGGCATGTAGGGCTGCTTGGACCCACCCAGCATGGTTCCAGTTTCTGGTGAGTGCTGGGGGTGGGAGCCGGATGCCAGGAGCCGAGGCTGGGGCTCAGGCTTTGAAACCATGAGGTGAGGTGCTGGTTTATTCCTTTGACTGACTGTCTAAGAAACTAAAATTACTCAGGGTTTTCAATCAGTTTAAATTCCTTCATTCACAAGATTGTTTTCTGTCTGCCATCCTCTGTTTGATTATAAATCTAACCACAATGTTTTACAGAATCTATATTCTCCAACGATAGTAATGAAAGGTGGCATCCTGAATTTCAAGATTTCTTGATAGATGTTTACAGGTTTTTAGTTTTCACTTTTCTGTGTCCTATGAAAAATGCATCTTTGTCAGATGGTTGGGTTAGGGGCTGGCTTATCAACACTTCTTCAGGAAGTCACTTCTCCATTCTTCCTTTAGTGTTTTTTTTTGTTTTTTTTAATCTCTTTTTTTTTCTTTCTAATTTTATTGAGGAAGAGTGTGTTTTTCCAGGACCCATCAGCTCCAAGTCGAGTAGTTGTTTCAATCTAGTTGTGGAGGGCACAGCTCCGTGGTCCATGTGGGGATCGAACCGGCATCCTTGGTGTTATGAGCCTGTGCTCTAGCCACCTGAGCTAACCGGCCGTCCCTTCTTTAGTCTTTTTGAACATCCTCTACATTTTCGGCTCGTTTCCTGGTAGAATTGGCATGGTGGCAATTCTGGCAGGGTGGGAGGAGCTGGTTCTCTCCAAGCAGTGACCAGAGCAGGGATGGGCTTAGTTGGGACCAGCCACCACCTCCTGGGTGACTTGGCATGGCCTGGATTTGGCTAGATTTGTGCTTGTGTCAATGGGGACAGCAGCTCATAATGAAGGGCTGAGTGTGTACCTGGCACTGGGGGTCTTTCTAACATTCCAGCCCCTTCCCATGGGAGGACCCCTTCCCCACCCCAATGCTGCAGGCGTGGCCCCATCCCCCTGGCCCTTCGTTCTCACCCTCCACCCACGAGTCCCTCTGTGTCTGCATCTCTCCATTTCTTTCAAAACCAGAACCAGGTTTCAGCCATCAGTAGCTATTGCCAGCAATCCCCCAGGAGGGGCCAACCTCATCCCTAAGGTGTCTTTTCAGTGTCTGGGAGTTCCTTAAAACCCAGCTTTTCTTATTGTTTTCTGCATCTGACAAGAGAAAATACAACTACCTTGAACTCTTCAATCCATGGCCATCAGTTACCCAATTTTAGTCGCGTAGAGATTATTTGGCCATAGCTGACCATCCACTTGAGGGGCTATTGGATTTGTGACAAAATCAGCCCTGGCCCTTGAATTTATAACTTGAAGTCTGGTCCCCCTGCCGGTACAGCTGGGGACTTGGCACGTCTGCCCAGCCTGGTCCTGAGCAGCTGGGCCTGGGCCCCACCTCCCTGGGGTCAGCCAGTGCCTGACACCCCACAGGCCGATCAGCTCCGAGCAGCCAGGAGAGTGCTTGGTGCCCCTTGTGGGCTTGTCCAGGGTGGGAGTGCCTTCTCACGGTCTGGACGGCCCCATCACCCTGTGCCCATCAACATTCATTCTGGAGATGGGGTGACGGACAAGGAAAGTAGGCTCTGGAGTCAGATTGCTGAGCCTGAGTCCCAGCTCTGCCCCTGTGGGGACTTAACCTCTCTGTGCCTCAGTTTCCTTAGCTGAAAACAGAAAAGGGGAGTTTTGTGTTTGTTTATGGCTGTGCTGAACCTTGTCTGTTGCTGTCCTGAGGACCTGACTCAGGTTCTTGATGTCATTTTGAAGTTTGCAGGTTCAAAGATTAGGCACTGTGTTTGTCAAGGTCATGGCAGTAGCTACACCCTAAAATCCTAGTGCATAACTCAGTAGAGGTTTCTTTCTTATAAAGCCCTAACTGGGCATCTCCTCCAGTGGTGACGATTCAGGCCCTTTTGGTCTTGTAGCTCCCCACCCCTAACAGGTAGGTTTCGGGGTTACCTTGAAAGGGGAGACCAGGAAGGCTCGATATCTGGGTCTCGATAGACAGTCCCCACCCCAGTGAGTTCCGATTCACAACCAAGGGGTGTTGTGGTACATGGCTGTATTTTAACCAAAATTCATGTTAGAATTTTGGTGCTTTCACTTATTAAAAGCTCATCAGTGCAAATTCTGGGGACATTAAATTACTAGACGTGGCTTAATTGATATTTTTAATTTAAGCATTGCTACAGAACAGTGGGTACATTGCTTTGACTAGGTTGTTGTTTCAAATTGCTTGTGATTTGAATAAGTAGATATTTGATATGACAGATTTTTTTTTTTTTAAGCTGAGCCATCCTGCTACCTGTTGACAGCTCAGCGGCTGCTCAACTCGGGCTGGACTCGAACCGCTGTTGCTCAGAGCTCAAACTCTTGAGCAAGCTCTTAAGACAAAGATTTTTATATGTAATTTTTCATTGTTTGAAATTTTAAAACAGTTGTCCTTGTCTACATGCAAATCTCTTAGCTGGTTAAAGCAGTTCCTGAGATTGGGCCAAACCCGAGGTTTTTCGTTTCCATTCATGCTATAAAATAGTTGCTTGCCTGTCTTTTATGAAAGGGACACAAAGCAAACGAAAGCAACGTGGGGGACCATTGGTTCTCCGGGCCTCATTGCTCTCGGCCCCCATGCTTTGCAGAGGGACAGGCCCCAGGGAGACAGTCTTTGAATTTGGGAGTGCTGTGGGCAGGGAGTGCTGGCTGGGGGGGTGGGGTTCTCTGATGGTTGGGGCATCCTTCGTGGCTCCTTGGGTTGTGCTCCTCCACCTAATCTCAGCAGGCAGGGTCTGGGCAACTACGGCCCCTGAAACCACTGCAGGCGTGGCCTTGGGTGCACCCTAACCTGCAGGGACTGGTACCGTCCCTCCCATAGAGCAAGGATTTCAGGTGTGTCTTTTTCACGCCGAGTGACATTAGGAACTGGAGAGGGCAGAGTCCTGGATGTCTCTCAGGCCTTTCTTCTCGTCCCAGGCAGTGTGTCGGGTGCTCCATGTTCCTCAAAGGCCAATGTGGTCTCAGGTAGTCCAGGCTGCTCTGCGAACCCCTAGGTCCTGGGAGACCTGCCCTGAAGTGGCAGCTGGGAGCAGGGGCATCCCCTCACTTGGGTCAAGGCCGCAGGTCATCTGCACTGATTGCAGTCCCAGGGGTCACCTGGAGTGCCCTTCCCACAAGCCTTTTGTGTTGCCCTCGTCCCTTTGCACAGAGTTGTCCCCGTGCCAGGACCACCTGGCCACATGGAGACAGGTGGGCTGGATGGGAAGTCCCCAGAATGTGGCCCCTCGGGAGGGAATTCTCCACTCTGCTGCTGCTCACCAGCTGCTGACTCCATGATAGGCTGTGGCTTGCTGCGCTGGCACAAGAATCCTCCCGGCAGAGCCCGGGGCAGGCCTGAGGACCTCTCACAGCAGGGCCCTGCCTTCGACAGCCACGCACAGTAGGTCAGGGAGGGAGGTGGAGAGCAGGCCAGCAGCCAGAACCCCTGGAGATAGGAATGACTGCAGATAAAAATGAGACCCCTCTCCAGAGCTGGACCCACTTTGTGGCTTCGATGCCGCCGAGGGCCCTTCCGGCCGGGAGCACCTCAGGGTGCCTGAGCGGTGGTTTTGGCTCCCTGCCCTCTTCGCAGAGCCTCGGAGCTGACAGCACTTCACTTACAAGCTATGAGGCTGCAGAACAAGTAGAAAGTGTCTGAGCTTGGAAGTAAATGCTTAGCAGCCTCTGTTCACCTGAACTCCAGCACTCCTGCTTCATGACCCTTCGCGCTGCCACACAGTTTGAAATCCCAGTGGAGGAGCTTCTGACAGTCTCAGGGGACTGTCGATGCCTAGGGGACCTCAGGTACTGACCCCTGGGTCAGGACCACCTTCATGCCACCAGCCCTAGGCTGCTCGGCAACGTCACCTCTTGCTCAGACTTTCTGTCTCTGGCCAAATGTATAATAGAAAGTACCTTTCCCCACCTGTGATGTGTCCCAGCGGTGACCCGGCGGGCTGGCCTACTCAGCAGCTCGGTGTTGCTGGGATGGGCATGGGCCACCCTGTCTGGGCAGGAAACAGATGAACGTCACCCTGCCCGGAGGCTTTGGGAAGCAGAGGCGTGCGCAGCCTGGGGTCCGCTCAGAAGACCCTCAATCTGTGTTACCATGTCTGTTAGAAGAGTCAGGGTCAAGGTATAACACCCGCCTTTTGGAGGCTGGGCTTTGTTTCCTCTTTTTATTTGAAGTGCTGTCTCTTACAGATACTTCAGCCGCAGCACTGAGTGAGGGAGTCACCGTCCTGGGAAGGCGAATGGGGGAGGGGAGGGCTGGCCGATGGCAGGGAGAAGCCAGCATACCTTCGGGGGCTGTCTTCCTGGGCCGTGCCAGGGACTGAGGGCTGGCGGGGTCGCGGGGTGTGGTCCAGGGATGCTGAATCCACAGCGTCTTATCCGGCTCCGAGTCTCCACTACTATTGTGTTTAATGACGTATAAGTTGAAATTTTGGGAGTTTGTGTAACAAATTGCTGGAATATTGTTGGTGCCTGTTTATAAAATCGGGACTGAAAGTCAGATGGAAGACTACCCTAACGGGGGTCCACTCAAAGCCGGGGCCCTTATCGCCACCAGGTGTTGAGTGACTGCCCGTGGGTCGGGGCCGGGCTTTGCTGGCAACACTGGTGTCTCCAGGGAGTAACGTCATGACCCACTCACAGAGTGGCTGATAACCCTCAAAGCCTTCCCCTTCCCCAGCTGGAGCCGGTTTGGAGACCACAGATTTCCTTAGAGACACAGACCAAAGTCTGACCATGTGGACGTGGGGGGTGTCAGCATGGTCAGAGCACGCAGCAGAGGAATTGGTGCGTCCCATGGCCTAATGTCTCCCGTTTGCAATTCCAGAGCCCAACACGGTCGGCTACAGCCAGTCCAGCCTGATCCACCTGGTGGGGCCTTCGGACTGTACGCTACATGGCTTCGTGCACGGAGGTAAGGATAAGTGACTGCTGCCGTTCCCATCCCGTTTGCTGGGTCCTTGTTAATCCCCTGGGAAACCATGCTGCTGTCTGACCCAGTTTAGGCTCTTGTGTTTAATGAAGCACAAATTTAAACTTTTAAGAGGTTGCATAATAGATTACTGAAACACTGTCGGCTCCTGTTTTTAAAATTACAATGAAAGTCAGATGAAGCTATCCTAACAGAGGGTCCCTCACAACCGGGAACTTACAGCCACGTGGTGTTTAGCAGCTGCCTGTGGGTCGGGCCTTTTGGGGATGCTGATGTCCCCAGGGACTAATGTCATGACCCACTAACAGAGTGGCTCATTTTACAAACGCTTTTGCTGCTGATGTTTGCATTTATTTTTTCCTTTGGTCAGATGCTCGCTCAAACAACACAGGCCTTGAAGTTCTTAGCTCAGGAAAAACACCTGGAACACAAGCATGCTTAGCTCCAGGTTCAGTGTTATTTTAATAGTGTGTAATTATTTTTTGTGATTTAGGGAAAATTTAAGTAGTATCAAGCCCATAAATTAATGGCTATTATCTCAGATGAGACTGAAGTAAACTTTAAAAAACAAGTCAGTTTAAAGAAAAATGTAAGGGGAGAAGTTGCTAAGTGGCACAGGTGACCGCCAGAGTTGTGACAGTGGTGTGTGGGTGATGGAGGCTTGGGCTCCGCTGCCCTGGGTGTGCTGAGCTAGTCTTCGTTCCCCAGGTATAACAGACACTAGTACAATGTCATTCATTTGCACTGTCATTTCCAGTTGCCTGGAATGCCATGCTCTCCTTTTTCCTTCATTCAGAAAACTCCTATTCATCCTTCAAAACCCAGCTCAGTGGGGCCACTCTGCAGGATTACATTGATATTTCTACCAGGGGGTGCCTCAGGAGCAGGGCTCAATCTTAATCGTTGCATTGGCTTCAGGGCCTCACACAGTCAGAGAGGCATTTTGCAGACGTTTGTTCCATGATGAAAGGCACAGATCACATTTGGGATAATGGGCCCTGGGCCTGTCAGAATCATAGAGAAAGCCCTGATTTGAGATATATTTTCAAAGTTTGTTTCTTTTTTTTTTTTAAACTAAGCCTCTTTTGTATATTTCTTTTTTCAATTTCATGATTGTTTTCCTCTTTCAACTGAATGCTAGCTGTAATGCCCTTGGATCTGATTAACTCGGGTCCTACCCAAGGAAAGTGCTGCTTTATAACAAACTGTACTTTTCCAGACCCATGAATGTTGTGACAATCAAGGTATCCTTCTGCCCTGAGAACAGCCATGGCCTCGTGCAGCTGTGGTCTCATCAGCTTTCTTGTTCCTCTTCACCAGTCCTTGTCTCCCTCCTGGAAGTGAGGGGCAGCCCCCTCTTCTGAGCTCAGCAGTCAGAAGCCCAAGCTTCTATAACTGCTGAGCTCCATTCTACCTGCAGTTTGTGCAACTCCACGCTAGAATTTTTGCTTGTGTTGTCCACACGGTGGAAGTTTGTGAGATGTGGCATTTCCGTCATCACGGTCTCCTTGCTAAAAAGCCCACACTCTGTGTGCAGCCTTCTGTTTCCACGGGCTAAGGCGGCAGTGAGATGCAAAGAGCTAGAGAGTCGTTACAGTGTCCTAGAAATCGGCAGCATGTCGTATTCGTTTCTGGAGCCTACGCTGCTTCATTTGACTCAGGCACGTTTTTTAATGTGCACACAATGCTTTACAATATTCATGCTTATCTTAATAGGGGTTTTATGCCTCCACACACACACAAAAGCCTAGTAATTGTGCGAAACCTCACCGTCTCTTACAGTGCCTGGTAAGTAAGTCAGCAGGAGCGAGTGAACCACGTGAAGACCCGGTGCTGAGACAGGACTGGTTTCCCATGCTCTCCTGTAGCGAAAATACTGTTGACACGACTGGCATTGACAATCATTTGATCGAAAGTCTTCCCTAAACTGTAATTTAGTAGATGCTGGTCTCAAGAGAAGACAGTGAGCCAAAGTGCATGCTAATTTGGCTTTTATTCAGTAATTCTGTGCTGTGTGTGTCTTTGCAAAGCTCCTCCTGTGCCCTGCTTTCTGTGATTTCCTGAGAGGTTCTTCACTCCTGATTTCTTTCCTCTGGGACTCGCCTTGCCTAGCCCTCTGTCGGCTGTTTCCATGTGAGCTTCCCAGCCTGAGAGGGACAGTCCCTGCTTACAGCCAAACAGTGAGAGGAAACGCGCTCCCCAAATCCGGATGGCTGTGGCCAGACCTTGGAGAGGGAGGCTTCCTGGGGGTTCGCTCAGGGCCCGCTCAGGGCAGACTCCAGGTGTCTGCTATGGGAGTTCCTCACTTCTGAACTTCCCGCAGCCTTGGATTTTCTTTGGCACTTTTACTGGGGAATTGGGGAAGGGGAACAGTGTTGGGGAAGAGGAACAGACAATTTGTCGTCCTTCAGTCCTAGTTGTGGAGGGCACAGCCTGCTCAGCTCCAAGTCCAGTTGCCATCCAGCCGCCCGCCGGCAGCTCATGGCCACTCAGCTCAAGGTGCCGTGTTCAATCTTAGTTGGGGGGACACAGCCCACCATCCCATGCTGGAGCTGATCCAGCAACCTTTGTTATTAGGAGCATGCGCTCCCACCAGTGAGCCATCCTGCCACCTGTTGGTAGCTCAGCGGCAGCTTAGCTCAGGCACAGCTCACTGGCCCACGTGGGAATCAAACCGGTGACTCTGCTGCTCAGATCTCGTGCTTCTAACCAACTGAGCCACTCGGCCGGCCCCTGGCACTTTGTTTTTTATTTTGAAATTATTTTAAACCAAAGTATTCTGTGGCAGTGGTCCAGATGGCTTCTGACAAAACAGCTACCCCATGCCCTCCCTTCACTCCGCCATTCCACTCCTGGTACACAACTCAGTGCTCAGACGTCTCGGCTGGTAAACTGGGCTTATGCTTCTGTAAGTGCCACTCAGTGCTAAGGCGGGTAGAGTACTTCGATGACGTCTCTTGTGTGGTTTTGTTGCAACAGTAGTTCATTATCGCCTCATCCCCCACTCCTTGAACACCAGCTAAGTCGGCCCCACCCTCCAGCGGCTGCTGTATAAAATGCTTCTCAATACAGTTTCGCCTGCTGGGTGGTTGTCGGTGCCGCTCTGCCCGCTCCAGCTGCACTGCTCACTCCCACACCTGCTCTCAGCCGCTCTCCTGGGACCTCTTTCCTGAGTTTGGCAGAGCACGTCCTCCAGTGGCTTCCTACCAAAGGCAATGAATGTATTAACCAGGATACAGGCTCAGCTGCTGTGATGAGGGCTCCAGTCAGCAGTGGCTTCGACAAGGTAGACGAATATGATGTCCTGTGCAACGATGCACATGTCAGAGACCCAGGCTGACGTGGCAGCTCCGTGAAGTTGGGGACCCAGCCTCCCTCTGCCCTGTCTGTCATCCCTGGAGGCTGCCCTCTGTGTGGTACACAGAGACACATCACTGCGTCAGCATTCCAACCTGAAAAGCAGTGGAGGGCACCCCAGCAAACCACAGCTACACTGCGCTCTCATCCCATTGGCCTGGCAAAGCCACATGGTCACATGTGCTGGGGCAGATGTGTGTTTGTTAAACCCTGGGGTTACCGTAGAGAAAGGGAGAGCTAATTGCAGGGGGAGGGGATTCTCCGCCATGGACACAAAGGTGGTTTTCTGAACCAGCACGTGGGAAGTGGCTCCTGGCTGGGAATGGCGCTCTCCCCCAGGACAGGCATTACTGCGTCACCCTCCAGTTCCAGTGGTTCTGTTCACAAGTCCTGGGACCGCGGGTCCACTTCCTCCACCTGGCCACACCTCTGTCTGTCCCTGTAACCTGAGCTTCGCTGTTCACCCTGGCCTCCAGCTCCAGGCCCATCCTGATCTTCCAGCTGACTTTTCCTTCCTTAACCTGCTTTTCTGAGTAACAGGTTGTGTGGTTCAGTTTCTGGGTGGTTCTTGCTTTGATGTCATATCCGTCCCCTGTTCCCCCAGGTGTCGTGGTGCTGCTTACTGCTGAGGCCAACCAGCCACTGCTCACGATGGCTGGGCGCTGCCCTCACCCCAGTGTTCATGGGTCTGGGAGAGGCCCGAGGACCTCCATTTCTACCAAGTGTCCGTGTGTGCTGAGGCTGTTGGTCTGGGGCCCGCCCTGGAGAGCTTCTTGAGAAGAGCCCTTTTGCCCGTGTTCCCAGCCTGGCTTCTGCAGCCCTAGGCCCGCCCCTTCCGGGTACAGTCTTAGCAGACGGTCTTACCTCTGGCTTTTTAAGAAATCCGAGTTGCATGCGTGAGCAGCTTTCTGAGACTTCCTCTCTCTATCTCCGGGTTTCTTCCTCTGCTGCTATCTTCCCGAGCTTCCTTTTTTGTAGGGTTGACCCTTCATGTGGGCTTTGGACCCTCTTCTCACCCACTTCCGGTTTTTTGTCCCATTGGCCATCTCATCCTTCGTATCAAGTTACTGTTTCTCTCCTCTGACACAGTTGAGGTCGTGGTGTTGGTTTCTTCACTTTCCTGAGAGGCTGTTGGCCCATGGTCTCATCCTTGCTGTCGGGCACTCAGAAATGCAGGTGCCCAGGCGCCACCCCAGACCAACCAGACCAGGTGCCCTAGGAAGTCTCAAAAGCTGCCCCGATGATTTACAACAGCTGCTACAAACCTTTGACCCTGGAAAAGAGGACACAGCTGGGAACAGTGAGCCTTACTTGAATCCAGTGCCCACAGAGTGTATTTCCCTCCTTCCAAAAATATTTCCCAACTCTGAAATCTTTGTTGTTCTCTTCCCAGGTGTCCTTAAGCGAGCAGCCCCAGTGTCCTCACATGCCAGCTATTAAAAAGCAGAGGAAGGAGAAGCTTGTTCTTACAGTTAATTATTGTTAACCTCTTTTAATGACCCAGTGAAAGATCTCAAAACCTAGGGAAGGAAGAGAGCTTAGAAGCTTGTAGCCAAGGAGTGAAAGTCCGGACAGCAGCCGCTCTGGCCTGCCCGGCCTCCCCAGCGCAGTGCACGCCTTTGGGG